CCGATTGTATGAAACGTAATTTCGACTTTGTTTTTAATAGAGGAAAGTCCTCTATTATGAGACAGGTTTCTAATATGAGACAGCAGGTTTCCGACATCCAAATTCAATCACGAATCTTTTTTCGCGCAGATTTCGCTCCAAAAGCAATAAAATTCATGGTGGAATCAACTGACGATGCCTACTAATTTAACAAAAAAATATCGATACTAAAAATTTCCAAATTGCAATGTCCTGTAAACTTGTAGAACATCTAATTCCTTGAGAAGGACCACAATCGGTATGGTCGAAACGTTGGAATCTAATTAATAAAGACATCTGCCAGCCTAACGTCGTTGAACAATTCTTTCTACTGTTAACAAACTACTGGCGACTTACACTCTTTCGTTGTTTTAACAAAAAAAACCCCGCTATCCCATAATAGGAGACTTTCCTCTATTCGCGCCACTTTGCATTTTGACGACTGTTGAAATCTTCTGACGATTGAAAATTGTGACGATTGAAAAAATGTGTACGGAGCTCGCTTGACCAGACCGCACGAATGTTCGACCGACCGGCTCAAATGCTCCGATTTACTCTCGCAAGCTGGTTTCAAGCTACACGCGATGGTAATTCCGCGTGTAACAAGATTAAACTTGCATTCGAGAAAGTGCGCGGGAAATATCGATCAGTGAAGTCAAAACACTTCGCTAAAAGAGATTGGGATCGAGAAATTATTTCATTGGAAAATTAAATTACATATAATTACATGTACGCGCAACTTCGACTTTATATTTTAAATAAGCATTAATCGATTAACGCTAATCCCGTGTGAGAATTCGCTTGCACTTTGCGCAATTGAAATATTCACGAGTAGATATATCGCCGTGACAAGGCTAATCAATTATCTCCAAGCGCTGATCGTTTCTCCTCGTGTGGACAGGTATGAATGTCCGGTGTGAGTAATATGGAATGGGAATAAAAAATGAGTAAGGATGGGAATGCGTCCACGTTAATCGAGAAACTTGACAAATCTATGTGCTTCGCGCCGACATGTATAATAGCTTATTCGCGCCGGCAAAGTCGCATCCAAAGCGCATTACTTGTCAAACGGCACGCGGGCTAGCGAACGGAAGTCCATTGCATAATATCGAAAATTGCATAACTCTTCAGTCACGCCGTTGTACAGTCAGGAAGTCAAATTGCTCTCCCAACGAGTATTGTTCTCGATTCGACGCCGGACGAAATTAAAATTTTTCGCACGTTTCGCGCGTTGCGCCAAGTGTAAACGAGGCCGAATTATAACGTTATTGTAAAGGGGAAAAAGTTACGTTCTATAGAAACGGTTTTTAAACATTTTGAAAAAAAAAAAGAAGATTTGGCCTCCACCGTGTCTACTGAAGATCGTGCTCCAACTTCTTGCTATATCGCGTTACGCAACAAGGCAACATTATAACTATGTTAGATTGCGGTACGCTATTATTGCCAGATACTTAAGTTATGTAAGTACAAAATTAGACGTAAGATCCTGCTTGCTAATATAAGCTTGCAGATTATACGCGGGACAATCCGTCCGTATCAACCACATGTAAAAACTTGGACCGTGAAAAGTACGATCGATTTGTTACTATTAATTTTGAAAGTCATAAAATTGCAAAATGTAATTGAAAAATACTCTACGTAACGTCCTTCAAGTTCTTCCGACGAAAAGGAAAATCCCGGAGATTTCCTCCCCATCGGAAGCGTCGCATAAAAAAACGACAGCGAGATGTTAAGCATTTACTTGGTCCGAGTAGACACGCGGATTAAAATCTTGCCGGCGACCGCCCGACGATGAAATTGTCGAGCGTCTCGCATTTCCTCGAGTACGATCTCCTCGTTAGCGCGGCGAGCGTGACCGCTTCTTTTCACGACGGGTGTTTCGCGCGACTTCCGTTCGTCGCGTCCTCGAGAGGGGCTGAGGACTCACCTCGAAGACCTCGAGTTCCAGCGTGTCGACCTCGACGCTCATCGTCTATCCTACGCAAACTATAAACCCTCTATAAGGCCAACCTCTTCTGCCACCTTCTGGCACCTGAGCCACGCCGCCGCCGGCGGCGAGACGATGACCTCGTCCCCCCCGCTTCGCGCTTCGCCTCTTACATAGTTCTTCCACCTGGGGCCCACCACCGTCTTCTCGTCTCCGCCGATCATCGCGGGGCCGCATTAGTCCACCAGCTGGCACCTCGCGATCCAAATTCTGACGTACCTGGTCACCGCACCACCACCGTTCCCACCACTCGACTGCCTCTCGTTCCGGTGACCCGATTGACTCGGTCGTCCAATCGACATTCTCCCGTAGGGTCCGGACACCCGACGAGCCGCGCTCAATGCTGCGTACCACCCAAGCGTACGTCTTTCACCCGATAAGAGGCGCAATCGTCCGCCACCGCGTGGGAATCCCGCCGGGACCTCTCTCGGTGTCCCGGAGTCGCGGAAATTCCGATTCGCGAAAATTCTGCCTTTCGCAAGGCACGAAAGGCGCTCTCCTCGCGGCAAGGTCTTCAAACGTCCTCCCCCTGCGATCTCGCTACGTCTTGCTTGTAGTAGTAACGCTTCTGTAAGGAAATCAGCGATCCTGTCATCGAGATCGTGCACGGTAACAGATCGCGAGAGGACGACGATGTGGAAAAGCCCAAGCTTGGATTATTCACAATAGGGATGTTGCGATCGCTAATCGTCCCTTGCAGTCTGGTTTTTGGAAACTTTCCAAACGAAGACTGACTCGTTGCAATAAAGAGTGAATCGAGCACGAGTCTTGTAATAAAGTTTATCATTCATCACCCGAAATATATTACTCGGGGAAACTTATACTCGCGTTCACATCGACAAAACATGTTTTGGTATCGCAGTCAACGTTAACTTGCAAGTTGTACTCTTTTAATTGTTATACAGCCTTGGCGCTACAAGGGCTAATTTAAGCTGGCAACGCGTTGCCACGTGTAGGAAAAAAAGGAACGGCGTATTATTATTATCGTTGCCCTCCTTACATGCGGTAATGCGGTTTATTCATGGTTAGTCGCATTATCTAACACGCCTTCTCCTGATGAATCCTGTTATCAAGGAAGCAGGAAAACAATGGAATCTAGCCAGATTATTGTATTCGCAACCGAAACGCTCGTTTCCAACTAATTAATATTCCATAATTAATCCTCGTTCGTATTAAAAATACTAAAGCGATTTCTCTTTATCTCCAAATAAAAAGATTAAAAATATATCATATCAAGACTTATGTGTCAGAATGTTTCTGACACGCATCGTCATATTTTTAAGTCGACCATTGTAAGACAAGACAATTTGGCAAAGCGTACAGCAACTAATCGTTTCGCAGGATTGACGAATAAATAAAATAGCAAAATAATTGCGAATATGAATCGAATTGATAGACACAGGGGAATATACAGACATCGCAACGTAGCCGCCTGTATTTGACACGCACACGCCTGTACTTGGAGAAAGTTCTCTTAAAAATCCTGAAAATTGTAATACATGACATTTTGAAGAACTTTGAGAGTTTGTGAAATTTTACCGTACATTTTACTACACAGTTGGAAAATTTGTGTTTTCTTGTTAAAAAGAATGGCGGTTAAAATATTTCAACACATTCGTGTGTTAATTTAACATATTGTAATTGTCCTCAAATGTGAAATTATTAAAATAACTAAAAAGAAATATTAAGACAACACAATGTGTACTTATTTTTTAATCTTGCACAATACATACAGGTATGTTAATTTTACACAAAATTTATTTCAAATTATTTTGAGATTTGCATTTATTTTGTGTTAAAATATTAACAGAGTATTTTTAACATATCCATATTATGTTAAATTAACACAAAAATTTGTGTGAACCGTTCGGGACATGTGATATCTGTTAAATTTAACACAAATTTTTCAACTGTGTAGTAAAATGTATAGCAAGTATAATTACTAGTGAAATGTACGGTAAAATTTCCAAAAACTCTCGTAAAAATCTAGAAAATGCCATGTTGTCCGACAAGTATAAAATTTCCAGGATTAAAAGAAAATTCTCTCCGTGTAGGACTATTCTCGAGGTTAAATAGACGTTTTCCATCCTGGAAAACGTGCCATAGAAAAAGATCGCAACGCACACTTATCCACCCACGTGCAGGCCAACTATCGCGTTTGTGTGTCAGTAACCGGAGACGACTCGCGACGGACGGTGCGCGCGGTATCCCGTTTTCTAGAGGCGGCCGTCCGTCTCTCGCTAATTCCAGCTGGTACGCCCATGAAATCAACTGCCTTTAGTATTTATGCATAAATACCAATTGACCGCTCGGAAAGCGGCGCATCCGTTCCGCTTCTAGACTAGAATGACCTATCGGGTAACAAAACAACTGTGCATCGCGAAATGCATCTGCACTTCCGCCTCGTCCGTAACGAGCTTATCGCGAAACGCTGCGAGGGAAGAGGCGCGGGCGATTCAAGATTGCTCGCTCGAGGACGACTTCTGATAATAAGAATTTAAAACGAGCGAACGGCCCGACGGCGATCGTTCATTAGGCGTTAATTAACAAGTTGGCCCTCGTCTGTCAAGAGGCGATTGAAAAATACGGAAGTATATATCGGGGCGTATGTTTAATTAATAAACATAACGTGTGAGATAACGCTCGTTGAAAGTCGCCGTCGAGAGCAAGAGCGCCTCTCGTGCGCTAAGTACACGCGCACTCGAGCGAGCGCCGAGCGGATCCTTCGAGAGTAGCGTTCGGCACGCTCTTCGCCGTCCTTGATCCCGCATACTAGAGTGATGTCACCGTTCGCCGAAGCCGCCACCTCTGGTCTCGCGTCTAGCAACGAAAATACCCGGGCTTCCTCCCGAAATAATATAGCCAAACGGGCCTTGCGGTGGCCGCGCGTACTCCGAGCCCGAGATTTCCAAGCGTCCCGGCGCCGAAGCCCATCCGTCGATCGCACCGGAGACGCAATATAGACGGCCGGGGGGAGCTCTTATGTAAGATATAATGGTGCTCAACCGGGAAATCGTCCCGGCATTGCCGAAATAGCCAGCTTTTGCTCTCGCGACACACGTGGACGATGTGTTCAACGTATCGGAACGAACGATACATCGTGATTGTGAATTTAACAAAAGAGACGACGACTCGGCCTTTACTTGTCTCAGTCACCTCGAGATAATCACTTACCTAATATTTTTCGAATGAAAAAGAAACATCTTTTTTTTATTTTCAACCCGAAGATGAAAGGCGGCTGGGATGAAGCGAGGCCAGCTGTCGGTTTCCTTTCTCGCCCAGAGAAATCGTAAACAAATCGTTCTATGCTCGTGGGCGCTAAGTATAGAACGATGGCTATATGCGAGTACGGATATGGATATACGTTCGGCATAATTAGCCCCGGATCCTCTGACGCGGAGCGACGCGCGGAAGTCTATAACAGGGGCTTTCATGATCTCGTCTGGATATCGTCTGGAAGCGCGGCACACGGGCTTTTCAACAATAATGGAACCGCGCGGTACTCCACTTCCGCTGGTAAGTGCGTAGCGTGACGACTCTTTGCTGTTATAGCGGATTGTTGTAATAGTAGCCTAAATTGTTATTGCACGGTGAGGCGGCCATTCTTATCCACGTTTGCATAAACAGACATTTACGGCTCTCACCAACGTTGTTTAACGTTCGATCTTATTGTTAGTTTAATTCATCTTTTATCCCTTTCCAACTGTTCCCTTATAGAAAGAGACAGAGGATGAATTAAACCAGGTTCCAAGTTAAACGACGTTGGTAAAATCCAGGATTAGTCGTTTATCGTGAAATTATGAAACACGCGGAAGAGACCCTGAGTATTGTTTTCTGAATCGTGAAAATTATGGAACGAGCCTTGGGAGACGTTTGCGTGTTTTCTCTGAATCGCAGACACGAGAAGCCGAGTAAAAATTGTACATCGCGTCAACGCGAGGGCAATACTTCTCCTCGGCGTGTGCAGCCGCGACGCACTCACTCAATGAACAATCAAAGCCAGCGAACTCCCCAGGGCCTAAATTCCGTACACGATTACCGACGACCATCGATACGTTAACGACGTTTGCGCAGCTTTTCTATCATGTAGAAAAAGCTGCGCAAACGTCGTTAACGTATCGATGGTCGTCGGTAATCGTGTACGGAATTTAGGCCCAGGTCTCCCTTCAGAGACAGAAGAGAAAACTTCGGGGACACCCTGTATCGTACGCGTACGAAAATAAAAATTTGGACCGGCCAAAAACGTGAGCGACGAAAAGAGGAAAGAGAAAGTTCGGAGCACGTGCAATCTCGAGGTGCTGGCTCGCGACCGAAATACATATGCACGTCCATTTATACCTCTCTTCGCGCACGCGTCATGTATTTATTCCTCCCGTCAAAGAGAACTTTACAACGGTACAGATGATCGCGTGGCAAAAATGAATTATTATAATGATTGAAGGTATAGAATTAATGATCATTAATTCTAAAATAACTGGCGTCGAAATGTCTGCCGATTGTATCGGACGTCAACGGGAATCGTGTTACGCTCCGTGTACGTTACAAAGGTTGCCGGCGGTCTTCATAGTAATGATTGTAACTCGTAGTATTGACGACGAAACGTCGATGCGAGAGAGCGCGAAATAAATGCAACACGCGCTCTCTTATCGCTCGCATCAGGTGCATCGTCGTCATACGCGACCGTTTCCAGCATCCGAGATGCGTTGTGCAACTCGCTGACGGTGTATGGCAGCCTCTATCTCTGTAACGCTGGGTTTTCGACCAAGTTACCAGTTGAATACCTCCGCGTCTCAATTAAAACAAAAGCAGAAAGAAAAAATATTGCGACTCAAAAAAAATAGAGAAAATATTCCGCGAGAGTGCTCCGCGGGTGTTTTTGACGACACCACGATTTCGCCCGTCTCCATTACGTCATTTACGAGCTGCTCGACAATGCAGGGTCTAAGGGCAAATGCAAATTCGAAATAAATCCGACGCGTCCGCGTGCTCTTATCGCGCGTCGGCTGCATCGCGTCACTTTTTGCAGCATCTCGGGTCCGTTACGTAAGTCGTTGTATCGCTTTACGCGCGAGGCTACGGTGAAGCACTTCGAGGAACACGAGCGATACGGTGCTAACCGCGCCATAGAGCTTTTTGCACCTTCAGCTGCGGTAACGGCGACGTGTATTCGATAATTGGCACTCGACCAGGGCCTCCTGTCATTCGTTTCAATTATCTGGCTTTGTTGGTGACACAATCGGCTCTACAACACCCAGACGAGCAATACTGATGAGCCGGGTGCCTCTTTTTTTTACTCCCTTCCCCTCGTTCAACGCGGCTGTATGGTAATGAGAAACGCTGGCGACTGCGTGATGCAATCCAAACCCATTTAGATTAGCGATTATTCTTGACTACGCACGCAGGTTTCTTACGATTGGTTTCAGAAGCAAATATTATCTTTATAAGTGGAAGATGCTATTTTGGTCCCTCTATATTCCTTCCGAGCGAAATGACTTCTTCAGACGTGATTTATTACGATTTCATCAATCTGGCCGGGATTCAGACGAGACAAATTTGTGCAAATCGAAAATCCATTATTAAAAGCAACGATATTAAGACGATTATCGATACGTGTTTTTTATTTGATACGAAACGCCAGATGGATTAAGTAAAAGTGAAAGGACGGATTATTTTGACAACCGCACCGCGTTATTATAGACAGGAACTGCTGCCAAAAGTTGAAGAGACACAAGTCTAGCCGGCCTCACTCTCGGATTATCGCATAATGAAGCAATAATGAAACGACCCACGCAAAGTCGCAATTTCCTAGGAAACGTACGCAAAAGTGGGACGCCTAACGTCAGCTGTCGGAGGTAAAGTTCGCATGACAACCGACGACATTTTATTACTCAGGCGCGTGAGCCTATCGGAATTTGTATAATAGCCACGAATGTTGAGAAAAAAAACGCAATTTATTTTCTCAAGTAATTAAACCACTTTAAATCATGACTCGAAAATCTTTTTCGGGATTAAAAGGATTAAACTTTTACACGTTTGAATATCTATATAGAATATATTTATGTGGATTGTAAATCTTTATCTTCTACGTGTTCAGAAAGTCAGAAAGTAAACGAAATTTATTTTGATATAATTTCGAATCAATAAATAAATCAAGACGTCGGAGTAGCCAGCAATCTGGATATTCCCAAGATAAAATATATTTCGTTGATCGAAGAGCGAGAACAATTTTCGAACTATTTCACGTAAAGAATGTAAGGAACGCGTAAAGAGGGTCCGTCTAAAAAGTCGCAGAACTTTTTTAATAAATTCCCACGGATGCCTATATACACATATGCTTTTTTCCCCTCACGTGTATTTTTTTCCTCCGCTCCGACCGGCCAATCGATACTATCGCCGGCTGGTTGCTCCCGAATTACTCTCATTTCTGCCTAATTTCGGCAGATAAGCAACCGAATCGACAGTACGACCACAGTGTGCCGTGCTTTTGCGATCTTAAATGTTGGCACATTGCTTATTATTCGACGGAAAGTTTTGTTATTTCGAAGAGAGTGCCAGTGCTAACTTTGAGAACATTGAAGAGACATTTTATCAATGTTAAAAATAGTTTAGAGAAAAAAAACATAGTTGTATCAATATTTCTCCAGACAAATCCTACAATAGAAAAAATTCGCGCTAAAGTTCGCTAAAAATTCGAAAAATATTGGAAACAATTTTAAAAAAAGGATAATATAGATAGCATTTGACACTTTCTCTTGGTTCTGACAAATTTTCTGTTCGCGGTAAAAGCCTATAAAAGATTAACATGGAATCGAAGTAAGAATACGGGGCCGCGTAAGAATTTGCACAGTTATCATCAAACGTAAGTGTTGATGACACAACGCAGATATCAACGATATCGAACATATTTAATCGTCGCAATGTGTACACAAGGCAGCCGCGAGATATTAATAATAACTCAACTGTTCATTCCCTACGAGTGCCGAGCGTTATTAGGTTGCTCCAGTTTAAGTTTTCCAGGCCAACAGGCAGTATCATCGTCTTGCGTAAATCAGCGTCCCCGTACAGAGTGTCTATTGGCATTCCCGGATGTCCTCTCGATCACAAATTCTTTGACGGGATTGGACATCCGAGGTCTATTGAGAAAAATTGACGACTCGGGGCACTGCCAATTTTCGCCTTAAAAAATCTTGGCTAACAAATTAAATTATTCTTTAAGTAAACACTCGGGCTGACTAAACTAATTTAAGCTGGACCGACAAAAAAACAAGCTTCCACCGTCCATTTATATCTTTGAAGCCTAGCCAAAAATCTCTAATTTCTGACGTTGATTGTCACCGACGTTGATTAGATATTCTATCAAATTATCGCCGCGCAAAAATCTATTTTAAAGTTATCAACGAATGTCAACAGTCATTACAGCTGATGAAGTGAGACACTTGATGTAATAGGATCCAGATTTCCATCGGCTGCGGAGTTAAGCGATTAAGCAATAGCGGGTTAAAGTAAATTGCGTCGTTATACCCAAAAGAGCATCGGCGCGGTAAACTGGCTAGCAATAACTGATCCTCCTTCCACTTAATAGAAGACCTGCGCACGAGCAATGAAAATCGAAAACTTGTGCATTCGTGTTTTTCACTCTTGGCGCAATAGTGAGAACCTTTGGGGACAGTAAATCTGTTTACGAGACAATTCGTAAATGCATTTGCTTGATTCCTCCGGTCAGCGCGGCCGAAGTCTATACGCTTAGGATAAACGGAAGCTCGTTTTCAGTACAAATGGATTTCAGCCGGCTTTCCCTTATACGGCCACGAAATTGACAATTTGTCTCGCCGCTAGGCTCCGGCGACTTTATGGCCAGCACTAGGCATTTCGATCAGATACGCCGCGAATATAATAGAATTCTCGATGAGCCGCCTATTTACCTTTTACCTTGCAATAATTCAGCCACTAGTTGATTGTCCATCAGCGTGTTTATTATTGATCGGCGCGTACGTTTGTAAAGCGAGCGATATGATTAACGACACACGTGGCATCGGCGACGCTCCGTCAGGAATGGGAGCGTCGCCGTACGAAAAACTCCCCCCCGGGGGTGGACCCTCGTCGTCGTAACGCAAACCGTAATTTCTCCCGGCGAACGCATTTCCAAGGTCGGACTATGGTCGAACGAGCCGATAAACGTCGCCGTGAAATCGCGAACAAGTTAAACGACGCGTTTCGCGACACGCTGGAAAAGACTTCTAATTAATTAAACTTCACCGAGCGTTCAAATGAAAACGTGAACCTCATCCTGTCCCGTCATTCTCTGCGGCTTATCGATCGACCGGCACGCAAATGCAGCTGCAAAATCAACATCGAAAAAAGGTTGAGTAACCTACTTTTCATCCCGCGGCGAAAAGGAAATGCATTTTGCATTCGATAAACGCTAACGCGGCATCGTGTCCCTTTCAAGTCCCTGGCCGTTTCGAACAAAGCAAACGAATATAGAAAAGGAGAACGGCTAAGACACAAAATCTTTTCCCACGCTTCTTTGCCCTTCGCAAAAATTTCGTTAGCGTTTCCTCGAGATGTGCCTCCAACTATATACAGTTGGAAGATTTCCACGACCACAAGGGATGATCTGCACGATTTCAATGCCCAGCTCGTGGTGCTTTTCCACTCGTCATTACGTCGTTCTCGAGGGAGCGAGACTTCTTTACTCATCGCGCTCGCAACAAAAGCACCCTCGCCGACGTCGTTTTAACGATCGTCGTCCATGTACAGGAAGAAAAAGGCAAATTCAAGACCGAAAGAGAGGCAAGAGAAATAACTAGGCTCTGCACACATAAAGCTCCAACAGTTCGATTTGATACAGAGAGAAACTTTACCGATATTTCTCATTCGACTAGGCTAAATTAATTTTTCGGTTCCCGAAACCGACAGAATTCACCAATAATTTCATCTCCACCGGACTAACAAAAGCAAAAGTCCAATCGACGTTTACTTGCCAAACTAAGCTAAATGAATTTTTCAT